GATGACGTTGCCTTGTACATAAATTCTACCATACCTCTATTAGTCGTTCCGTTAGCCTTCCCCACCCCTCCACCCTTAAAGGAACGTTAAGATAACTAGAAGATAAACCACCCAGTCTTCGTGGCTTGTCCTAGTAGAGAAGGATCTTTATAAGAGTCACATAACGCTAAAAGGGTTATAGTGCTTGTCAATAATAAACATCTTAACATTGAACAAAGTGTATTGATTACCTTGAGAATGTTCACGATGACCTTTATGGTGTAATGACGTGTTGTTGACGTGCTTAAGTAGACGGTTGCCCTCATTTTAAGCACTTTATCATTATCTTAATTCCAGATCAGCAGAATGAGCCGGAACAGCCAACAATAATGCATAAAGCCATCCCTTCTTTCTCACATGAACTCTTCGTTAGATACGGTTTGTTTACGCTCGAGGGACACCAAGATGGCGGATATTAACTGTTGCTAAGGTATTGGTCACGTGGGTGAAACCCAAGGATACTACACAACAAAACGTCTGATAAGATATATATACTTGAGCCCGAACCCAGGGCGTACTTTCAAGCACACTGAGCAAAATCGTAAGGAGCACCATGGTTGAACGAGAAGGTCGATCGCGACGATCTAGACGCAAATTTATTTGAAATTTTTCATGTTATTATTCGTAGTGATAACGACGATGTACACCCTTTCGTATAAGCACAATTAACCGTATGCCATCCATCTAAATTTCTCAGTATATCATGTGTTTCCAAGACTTTGAGCACAGGCTTCATTCTTGTGATGTATTCTTTACAACTTAAACCGAAAATTTTGAGATTCTTCAAAATTTCTCGAAAATTGCCTATTTACAACTTGAAGCCAAAGTCTTATCCATTACTAACACTAGACTATCTTATGGAACAAGATTATTTAGGTTTTTTCAGCTGAATTCATATTGTACATTGACCACCGTATAGAGTTTCAAAGCTGACGTTTCGAGCGTTAGCCCTTCGTCTGCGAGGCGAATGACGAAGGGTTACCGCTCGAGACGTCCGCCTAGAAACTCTTTATGGTGGTCAATTTACGTAACAAACTCAGTTGATAAAACCACATTACCTAGTTATATTCCACCACCGACAGAAACTTAACCCCTTTATTTTTTAGTACCGTTTGAACAAATTCGACCTAACCGGTCTTGCAGTGGAAAATCATGTGACTTAAACCTAGTTTAAGTACTATTTTTGGAGATGACAAGTCAAAATCCATACAGCCATGTCTTTGTCTAACTTGCGTCCAAGTGTTTTCTTTTTCAAGAGATAAGCAACAGTGGACGAGGCAAACTGAGGAAAATAACCAAGTAACGTCAATGTGTCGCGCCGCCGGCTTTAGGTGCAGTAGGACTTGGTCGCTAAATAGCAACGTATCTAAAGCCACAGTTTAGGTCCTATACAAACTCCCGAAAATGGTTACACTCGTCGATTGGACAGGTAGTTGTAATTTCCCGCCACGCTAAGAAATCTTAGTGAAGGGAAATTAATTTTGAAATTTTTAGCACGAGCGAGAAGGTAAAAAACTCCTAAGTATTTTGAATACTTTTGCAAACTCATGCACAGAAATAATAACAGAACTACAAAAAAAGGCGCGATTTTTTGAAAGCATGGAAATGGGCAAAGTTTTCCGCTTTGTGTATCTAAGACGTGGGCAGGATTTTTAAGCTTCGCGGGGATGTTTTCTCTTAAGATCGTCCACCACCGAAACACAAACTAGCTTTTGAACACCATAGTTTCATCCTTGAACATTCTGAGAGTTGATCGTTCTCGTAAAAAAGACTTCTTAGCTATTATCTGATTTCTGAGAGCAAGTTTGGTCAACTTTGTGACGTCCTCGCACTTTTATTAGCTCTATCAACTATCAATGGCTTTAAACTTAAGTTTGATGGTCGATACACACTAGCATATCATCCTTTCAGCCATATTATATATAGCCTTTATGCCTCTTTGTGTCTTATATGGCGCATTTCATCAGGAGATATCCCGATCGTCCTCGACCATCTTCGGATATTGAAAAGTGTAACTCATGTTCGCCAGTGTAATTACAAAACCTTAGGGACCTACCCTATCTTATTCAAGAAGAAAAACAGTATATCTTGCTTGCTAAGAAGTCATAATCAATGGATTTCAGTTATCATTTTCGATTCTCTAAAGCACAAACGCTTAAAGTTTTTGACTATAACTCAATATGGAATAATTTCGCACCGATGTATACCATGCATGAGAAAGTGGGATACGTCTTTCACAGTCTTCCATGACTGTGGTTAGGCAGGAACAAACATCGTCAAGTTCTGAACATCAAATTCTGAAGTTGTCTATGCGATACGACCAAATACCGTTCTGCCTTCTGTTCTGAACAGCTTCTCAGATATCGTTGTTCTTGTTGTACCTTAGAGAAACTGTCATGGCCTGATATAGAGCATGAACGCTCTGTAGTGGAGTATTTAAACACAATTTAACGGCCTTTGGCTGGCTTTATGTGCTATGAGAGGCAGTATAAATGTTCTACAAATGACGTTCTGTTGTTTAGTACAATTTACTCCGTGGACATCATACACCGCGTTATCGAGTACGTTTGTTGTATGTGAGAAGGTATATGGGCACCAATTTTTACGTCTTGGTACGATATCAAAGAGTTCGTGAGTATACATTTAGATCAATTGATCTACGGAATTTGGGCGCCCCGTATCTTTGCGGGTGTTTGGTTCATGCTTTACTACACTTGAATCGGTGGGTGAGACCATTACTTTTGTCTCAGCCTTCCGTTTTCAAGTGCCACCGTATATGAAAGCAAGAAACCGCAACTATTCATATGACCAAATGGTGACAGAATGCTCGTATCGAAGACTGTATTTACATTCCAAGAGTGTCTTAATTAGAATTAAGTAACGAAAAAATTTTATTCGAAGTCACGCGATCATCATGTTCAAAGAGCCAGCAGGGTGCTAAATTACACTATTTGAAAAGTTTTGAAGAATAATCACACTCTCTGCTTAACCTTTTATACAAAAAGTTTATACGGCCAAACGATTTCGGCGGCCACCTCTCCCTTTTCCTTGCCTTATCAGGGGGTTTAAATGCAATGAGACTGAAAGCCGAGAGTTGCGCATGCATGCTTGTTATTACAGTCTTCAGTTTCTTTTAGGGACCTCAGTAACCATTTACGTAGATATTACCGATGCCAAATTTACCTTTCGCCGAACTTATCTACTTTCCGCGAATATGCTGACAGCAAGTTTCGTAGGAATGACAATTAAGAGACTCTCTTCGCTTGTCAAGATGGGAGCACTTAAATAAACTTATTTGTTCATTAGGACTTGGTGGGTAGGTGATGCTTTCGAGCGTTAAATTATGCGAATCTTACCACTGACAAGAAAAGAGCCTTTTTTTCAAGAAGCTATGGTTTTTTCTGCTTTTTGTCCTTGTGGGCAAGTACTGGGTCAGTACTGAACTTTCGCATACGCAGTTATTGTGTTGTTTCACACAGCACACGCACAATTAGCTACGTCGATCACGATAAGCGCCCTTTGTCGACCTTTCAGAAGTGCTTAACAATTTCAAACCCTGCCGCCATCAGAATATCTGACTTACGATTCGCTATTTTCAAAATTTTACGTCATCATTTAACTGCTGGTGCTATTTAATTACATCCAATCAAATTACATAGGGAAAGTCCCTCTAATGAACATGCCTATGCTTGCCCAAAACAGGAGAAGTTTTTCCTAGTTTTATATGAGATATAATTGTGCAAGTTTCTCGATTCACATGCTCTAAAATAAGAACATTCTCGATTTTGTTTTGTCCTCTAGAACTTGGTCTCTCTCTATCATAGTAAACATTCCGAACAACGAATATTTAGCAGTTTCTAAGCGTATCTTCCCATGCAAGATATTGTGTATTAACGAACGATGAAATTCAGCGATTCGCATAGTTGGAAGGTATTTCGTTTCCAAACGGAACGTGTGAAAACTTCGTATGGGAACTTCTACAGTGTTCAAAACAGACAAACTGGAAAATAATTTGATTTGAAGACTTCAGAAGTTTCGCGAGCTATTTTAAGGTATGTAAGTACATATGTGTTTCTATACAGTCATAAAATTTCCTGCTTACTTAGAATCCTTCGAATTCGTTGAGTAGCTCGTCAAGCGTGTCGCCGTCTCCAAGTGAGTAGTAATTAAGTTTAGGCCGCAAATTCACTGATTCCTACATAACTCTGGAACTTCCTTTGATTTCTTTAAGCTCCGATCCTGTGGCGCAATAAATGATTGGTACTCATCTGTGCACAATATTAATGTATTCGAGGCTGCTCGAAAGTGCTCATGGATACTTGTGACAATATAATTTATGTTTGTACGATCTGCACCGAGAATATTTAGTCTAAACGTACGTAAGTTAAGTCCAGTCACTTGACTTTCCCACTTAAAGTCACCAAAATGCTTCTAGTTCATCGGAGTGCTGACACATAAGACTGTTGTATGAACGAAATGATAATTCAAAATTCCGTAAAGCCAATTCTACAAACTGATAAGCGCCCAAACGGATGTTAAATTCTCAGTTCTCAGAAATTCTTCTCAGACACGAACAAGCAAAGTTACAGCCAGTTAACGGTAGAAACTGCGATTGTTCGGGCGATCGACTAAATTTCGGTGGCGGGAGTCCGTTCGAGTCTCACATGGCAAAGCTTTTTTGCGCACGTTGCTACGCTCTCTATACGAAATTTAGCATCCGCTCCGAATTCGTGCCGGTCAATTTTATGCATCTGTAAATGAAGAAGAAGAAATATCTGTGACATTCTTCGTTGCGTGTTGACCAGGTGTGAGCAGTTTCATGCAACCTTTTTTCCGAGTAAGGTTTTTTTTCCGTCTGTTTCTGCGCGAAATCCTCATCGTTTAACCAACTGATGCGCATATTTGAAGATGTACACAACTGCAGTTTTTGAGAACGAGCTTGATGAATTCTAATGCTGCGTCTCTGTTCCATTCTTTACCGTATTTATTCACTAAGGACCAACAAAGATTAGCCTTGCTTCGAACTTCTACTTTTGATAAGTTTCTAAACCGTGGCATCGTTATTACCTCATTATTACCTCCTCTACATGTAAGAGGCACGCGCGGCCATGAAATAAAACGATTAAGAGCCGCAAAGGAAAAAGCACGATACGTATGATGAAATTGCGTCCAAGGAATCGTTTAGCATGCATGTTAACTCAAATGATTAAGATCGCAATTCATGAACAAAAAGAGAAATGAGCCTACAGTTTTTGAAGGGGACAGTTAATTTGAATGAGCTTGGAGGTTCAAACAATGGGTTTTGCTTTTAATTTTCGAAAAAGTCCCGTGAGACTTCCAATGAAGGGAAAGCCATTCCTTTTTGCCTTGAGCAGTCTTAATCCCGCATTTAGCTTTTAGGTAATTCTTTTTATGTATTTGCATTTCGTTGTATGTCTCCATTGATTCCTTCAGCAACAAAGGTAGGGGAAATATTTGATAAATCACAAGGCGTTCTGTTTTCGTCTGAGTCATACTGATCTGAGAAGGAAGGAAGCGGTAAATGAAAGCTGAGAATGCGCAAGCAAACGTTCCCAATCTTTTGTTCACCAGAAACAATCAATTATTCAATGACTGGCAAGTATTGTTTCGCTGGTGGCCAGATCATGAGGGTCCCAATGCGCATGCACGAAACCTGAGCACGTCGAAGAACCTCGAAGGTGCGCTTGCTGGAAACTGTCGATGAACAACGAGTGTAGTTTATTTTACTCGGTACGAGAGGTAAGAAAACGTTTTCAACTAACTTTCGGTTTTCCTACAGTTTCTTTTCCATAATTTTTACCCTTACAGCGAAAACCACTGGGAAAATCATTGTTTTCGTCACAATGTCGACATCTCAGTGGTTGTTGCAACTGCTCAAGCTTTCGGCTAATCACAGATCCGTCTTCATGCGCTTATGATAGTTTAGAACGGCTGCGGAAAAGGCGGTATGGTCATGTTTGCAAATGGTCGTCACGTTTGAACTAAACCGGTTTGGGCATACATGACCAACTACTTGTCTGGTTACGAAGAAATATGATTTCAACTTTGACACGGCGGTTAGTTGTACGCGACGGTTAACTTGACGGTATTACAAGAAGCTTTAAACACGGATGAAAAATTATTTGAATCATAAAACTTGGAGCCATTTTAGAATATACTGTTAGCTGAAGTGCACAGGTAATTTGGAAAAGTTTGCATAAATCTAGGCTACAAGTCTTAGTAACGTTGCCAATACATCAGTCCATACTTTGCGATCTTTAATCGTGTGCGACCCACTATCCTGAGAGAAACGATTTAAACGTTAATTTGTCATTATAACCAAGGCGAACAACACATCTTTAAAAAAATATTGTGAAGGAATGCATCTTCACTGTAAGGTATGTAGACTAACCTCGAATTTTCAGGGTTGTTGTTTTAAAATCTCTGTCTCTTGTCAGAGATAATTATTGGTCTAGTTTATGTGATATCGCTGTTTAGTATATACTAAAACAGTGGATAGCGTTGAAGGCGCGCTCTGATTGGCTAGTCAAACTCCGAATATCCTTCGCTATTTACCTCCGGGCAACTCGGGAAAAAAATGGCGCCCCGGTTTGCATCCGTGACAAGCGAAGAAATCACTCAAATTAACGACNTAAACGTATTTAAGCACATCACGTTGGTTTAAACTGACACAAAATTAAAAACAAAGCTTCAGGGGAATTGTTTGAACAGCATGCTTCCGGCCAAATTAGCTCATGGTGGCAATCATTTCTTAATTTGTATTTGTACTATCTTATCTTTATCCGGTGGAGACCTTTTTTTAAATGTTATGATAGGAAACGCAAAATTCTGGACACCATGATGGCAAAATGTCAGTGTTTATGATCAGTGAGGTACTTCTATCTGAACTTTGAAACTATTCCGGGGGCATACGTTCATTGCGATGACCTTTGATTCCTTTCTCTTCAATCTAAAATTTTCATTGGAAAAATGAAAAAAAAACAAAAAACAAAAAACAAAAAAACAAAAACAGTGTGGCCCCTTAAAAGTAGAATAACTTAGTTTATCACTGTAACAACAGAGGCAGCTGACTGAAGCCGGTTTTTCGTTTGTTATGTGTTGTCAACGTCGTTGTTTTTGTTTTGAAAAAATAACGCGCATAATACCTAAAATTAAATCCAGGTAGTATTATCACCTCGGAAAAAAAAAACAACAACAACAAAATAATCAAACAACCGAAAAAAAAAAAACTTCCGTCAGCTCTGTTCCTTAAATAACTTATAAAATTTCGACTTCAATCTTACTGACCATTTTCGAACGCATCGGCAGTGAATTGGAATCTACGGGATATTATGAGGGCCACTGTTTACACTTTTTTGCTGTTTGCCTTTGGCGTTACTATTACCACTGGAGACCAAGTCACTAATGGTAAGCACATTTCCCCCTAAGTATTCTATAAAACTTTGAATTTATCATTGTTAATTATAAATTGGAGGTCAGCAAACATGTACAGTGTAAGTATATTTTTCTCGAGGGGATTCCACTCCGATTGTTTCAGTGCTTTCCTTTGAAAGTTTTGTATACATTCGGCAAGAAAAAGATGTCTCACGTTCTCGCTACTTATACATGTAAAACCAGCGCATAGTAAATTAGGCGATAATGTTAAAATTACTCAAAAGCGAGAGAGATCATGTTAATCATATGATCGAGTTCTTAAAGATTTCATTTGGCATTTTTCCATATTTATGATCACGAAATGCAAACACTACATGATACCAAACAACCCACCCTTTTTATAAATGAAATTATTAATAGATTTCGTTTAATTAAAGTTTATTGCTAGTTTTTTCGCCGTATATAAACAGACTTACAAACGCGTGATTGGATAAAGTGCTATATTTAGTAACATCAATCAAAGCAAATTTAGTAAGTAGCTATGAGGGAAGCAATAAACGGTTGCGTAACTACAAAGCCTGTTCTGTTCTATTTACGTTTAATATAGCTCCATCCTTATTTACTACGGCCTAAACTTATTCAAGACCAATCAATTTAAATAAATACGAAACCTAAAAAAAAAAGCTGCTCAGAGAAACTCTTTGAGTATTACAACCTATCTATCGTCCCTGTAAAGCGTTTTTTTTATTGAAGGCTCGTATCAATCAAAGTGAGGGAACCAATAAACGGGTGAGGAACGCCTGCATAGAGAGCACAACTGATAGACACCGTGTAAGCAAAATGTTAGTGTTTATAGTTAGCGAGGTACTCCTCCTATCCAAACTTTAAATAATAACCTTTCCTATAGCATAAGGTCCATTACTACAACCTATACCTCTTTGATTCCTTCGCTTCATGCTGAAATTTTTACTAAAAAAAAATAATAATGGCAAAAACAGCCTTGGCGCCTTGAAATAAAAAAAATATATATATCTTAGTTTTACATGGTAAAGCAACCAATTAAGACGGTTTTTCGTTTGTTTTGCGTTGTTAGTGTCACCGTTCCTGTTTTGAAAATATGAAGCGCATACTTCCTAAAAATAAATCCAGTAAGTATTGCAACATTGGAATAAAAAAGGCAAACAGACAAACAAACAAGCCGAAAAAACTTCCGTCAGCTCTGTTCCTCAAACACCTTATAAAATTTCAATTTTAACCTCACTAAACATTTTTGATCGTATCTGCTCTAATTTTCAATCTACGGGATATTATAAGGACCGCTGTTTTCACTTTATTGCTGTTTGCTTTTGGTGTTGCTGATGCTACTGAAGACCAAGTCACCAGTGGTAAGCACATTATAATAATAATAATAATAATAATAATAATGATCATAATAATAATAATAATAATAA